GCGGTAAGCTAACCAATTGCTAAGATTAGCATTACTGCTAACGAAACAAAAATACCTGCAACACCACACGCCTCGCTACCTTCACTTCCAGGGTAATTTCTTAACGTTGAAGATGTCCTCGTTTCAGAAAGAGGCAATTACTACAACATTTCCCTTTCAGGAATGTATTGTCTTGTTTCTAAATCACTCTTCTATTGATTTGTCTTCATAAAAACGCATCACACACGGCGACCACACGATGAACGCAGTTCAGCGGAAATCACAGACAACAGCTACGCCGGAAATCAGTGTTTCATAACACTAAACAGATAGGGCTCTACGTTGAAAAATACGCAAACGTAGAACAAGCGCAATTTAGCAAATACCCGGATGAGCCAAGAAAAAGAAGAGCCATTTCCGGTACACTAGCAAACAGTAGTGCCCTCTGCAGTCCTTCTTTTTTAAATTGACGGTGGTGACGAATTTCGGCCTTTGACATATTATAACCATGCTCGAGGTGGGCCGGTTCGCACTGGTAGGCTACCGGCACTTCTACATTTTACTTTTTGGGGTACAGGGCCTTTTTCTTTTTCTTTTTCTTTTTTATCTCGTTTCCTAATGAACATTCCTTTGTCTGTCTGCATTGTTTACTGCCTGTTAATACTGTATATTTTGCATTGTTTGTATTGTTTATTGCTTGTTTATACTGTTTATTTTGTTATACTACACAGCCTTATGTTGGTATATTTTTCACTTGCCCCTTGGTGCTGCCTGCATGAGGATATGTACATGCACATTGAGAATCACTGTATCAGCGTCAAATTCCCCAGGTCCAACACACCTGGTCAATAAAGCTGATTCTGATTCAGATTCTTGTGTACCGGCAATTCTCACAAGTTGCTGGTGTTCCGTCTAGTTATGCTATTTATTGAGATGTGCTACCTAGAACTCCCAAAGTGATTAGGTATTAGGGATGGGGGTGGGGTTAGTGAATAAATCACTCCTGCTACTAAGGTAGCACAATTCGCACTGTGTCTTGCCTGGACAGCTGAAGAGAGCAGCAGAGGGCGATGACATGAAACTGTAGTACAGATGGATAGCTTAGGAGCTTTCCACCAGAGCGGATTACTCCATCAAAAAGACCTGAGCTCCCCAGAAGCTACAAAAATCCAAGTTTGGGTGATCCCAAATAATCAATAATCAAATTCAGTTTAGTTATATCATCTCTAATCCTAAAACAAACTACATACAAATTCAAAACTAAAGACAATAAAAGTATGACATCCCCTCCAAAATCATTTTTTTTAATGTCCCTTACTTCTTCTACAGGGTGCAGGAGTCACAGTTTTAAGGTTCACCTGCACAGTACAATGTCCATGAAGTATCATGCAGTTCTCAAAGAAAGTCTGCAACTGGTCTTTTTTACTTTGAACAGTGTACTTTGAACAAAGGCAACATTCATGAACTGAAGAAGCATCTAATATCACGCACCCATAAAGTGGATCATAGTATTTCCACACCCTAACATGAGCCACCTCATGGCAGCAGCGCACAGAACTGATAGGTATTCTAGTGAAAAATTTGTAGGCTATAGGCCTACTTTAATATGCTTGAAGTGTATGCTAATAGCAGTAAGTATATTTTAAGCACTTAAAGAAACACAACATAAATATATTTCAAGTGTAGGCCTACAAGGAGTGAGTGTGAGTGTGTGTGGTTGTTTGTCTACATCTCAGCCCTGTGATAGACTGGCAACCTGTCCAGGGTGGACCCTGCCTCTCACACAGTATCAGTTGGGACTGGCTCCAGCCCCCCGCAACCCTGTTCCGGAATAAGTGTTATAGATAATGGATGGATGGATAATGTTTCAAGCTGTATTGTCCTTGAGCCAGGCTTGTTTTACAACCTGAGAGGATGTGCCAAAGTGATGCTACACCTTAACACAAGGGACATGTCAGGTCCTCACCTATCCATCTATGCAGATTGTGGGGAGATGGAAACAGATCATAAGTTGCACATAGAATGAATCTAATTCTTCTTGCCTCCGTGTCTCACATTTCCCTCCAACTAAGTTTCTTCATTTCTATATCTTCCCATCTCATCCACTGTCTCTGGCCTGGGAGACTGACTTTGCACATCCACCTCCCTCCTAATCTCCTAAATAACCATCTTCCTTTTGTCAGCTCCTGCTGCTTTGCTCCAAGAAGGTTTTGATGTGCTTAAACCAAAACCACTACCTACATGCTGTACCTGCCCTACAATATGCCTGTATTTAAGAGCTGCCTCCTTCAGGTTCCACTTCCTCCATGCTGAGATAGCTGGTGCTGCACTCTGCACCGCTACATCATTGGATTCTCACAGCGTTATCTCCAGTCTAGCTTTAGCACATTTAAACTCCTGTTAAACTGGTTATAGGGAACTCCAAAATCCTTTTTCCGTACAGGGATTTCTCTGACTTCACCTTCATTCTAGCCCACTTTAAGTTAGCATTCATCTTGTCCAATAGACTTTTGGTACATGGTGCTGTGGTGGTGATAGTCGTCAAGTCATCCATGTACGCTCTCATGGGTGGTAACTGTTGCCTTGAGGGAAGCCTGGCTCCCCCTGCAACCCATCTAGATGCTCTAATAATAACCCCCATTGCCTTGGTGAACACTAGTGGTGAGACTTTGCATCCTGCCATGATGCCTATCTCCAGTTGCTGCCAAGCTGTAGCATACTCTGCTGTTGTGAAAATATTCTCTCACTAGACTTTAACTAAGTCTGGGACTTTATGTTAAGCTAGTGCTTCCCACAGTAGGCTATGTAGTACAGAACCAAAGGCATTAGCTAGATCTAAGAACATGCATATCTCTTTTTCCCCTCTTTGCTGACTGAATTTGATGCCAGATCATGTGTGCTCGTGTGCTCCAAATATCCAGACAAACCTGCTATTCCAGCTTTCTGCAGGGAGGTGTCAATGAGCTTAATCCTTTCTAGGTAGCTCAATAACCTTTAGGCCACTTCGGTGAAGAAAATCTTGCCTTCTACATTCAGAAGGCAAATAAGCCTAAACTGCCCTACATCAACTGAATCTTTCACCTTGGGAATAAAAATCCCTGCTGCTCTTCTCCATGACTTGGGAATGAGCTGCTTCTTCCATGCTACTCTGACAAGCCTCCACACTGGAGCCTATTTATACAGCTTATAGGGCATGCCATCAGCTGATCCTGCTCTTGCTTGCTTAACTACCATTTCCACTTCCCTCAGTGTTGCTGTTAATAGGCTGTTCTACTGTCCCAGTTGAGGTTATAATCTCTGTTATTGTTTACTTGTCAGTGATCATAATGTTATGGCTGATGAGTATGTATTCATTTATACTTGCTCATTTTTAGTCTCATTCATGTTTTTTATTTTTGTCTCACTGTAACAAGCACAACTGAGGCCCTTTACAGGGGTTATCGGCTTACAGGGAGTGAGAAAGATTGCTTTTCCTTCAGAAATGTGTTCTGCTTTTCTCCTTCGGAAGTCTAATATTCATTAATATTGATACATTATGGCATTTGTTAGCCAACAGGAGGTATCTTTGTCTTTTGGCTTTTTATACAAGCCTGTAATTTCTGACGTTCTAGAGAAGAAAACTGAGTAGTTTTTTCCTCTTTTATTGCAATGCAATCTCCATCCTGAGTCTGGATGTTTTAAGTTTCAACAATCCTATAGGTAGTTTCTCCATGACACACCTTTGTCCTGTGATTTGGAGAGTCTGTCTTATCAGTAGAGGGTAGTTAATTTATGAGCTAACCTTAATGTACCTGTACTGATGTAGTTAAGGACAATTTGTAAATAACATCATGATTTACAGAAGTATTCATAGTCAGTGTTGTCGTGGTTATATTATAATTAAGACTACTTAAGTACTTGCAGTCAATAAGACCCCTGAAAGCAGTGCCCACACGCAGCAGATGGTTTATGAAATGTTTAATAGACTCTCACATAAACACAAAAAAACCAGTGTGACAGAAATGGAGAAATAGAACTGACTCAGGTAAGCACTTAACAGAAGAGGAAATTAAAATCCAAAGACAATTTGTTTGATATGTTTAACCACACATGAAGGTGATTGCATTGTATTTTGTTACATGTAAAAGGCAAAAGCAACTGTTTGACTTTCAAAACCCAAAACAGGAAGTAGCAAAAACAAACAGGAAAAAGAAATCCCAACAGAAAATACATGCTACACACAAAGGCTGACAACAGTAAACATGGTATGACATATTTGATTAGTGGTGTCAAAATTCCTAAGAAATTCATTTAATTACTGAATATTAATTAGTAACTCAAAGGACCTGGATATTATTTTATTAGTAACTACTGTAAAAGGTGGTTTCTTACTTGTGTTTTACAAATACAATAAGCTACAGTACATCTCTTCTGTCAAAATTAGCAGCATAATGGGTTAAGGCACTACAGTACAAATTCATTTTTTAAGTTATTGTGAATGTGTTCATCACAGTACTGACTGACTGACTGCACAACTTCATTAACCCTTGCATTTTAAGATTTTAAATTTGTTACTTAAGTAAATATATTGCAACTCTTCAGACAGGTTAAATGCAGTGTGTATTTTCATAATGTGGATGAAACAAAGTGGAAAAATACTACTACTTTACACTTACCATATTAGTACCATTAATATTGGAACCTTAAAATATGAAGTTCCTAAAATGTATGTAATATATTTATGTAGATTTTATTTTGTATAGCCAATATTAACTGCAGACCATTTAGACATCACACATTTAGTACAGCCATCTTCAAAACTTGAACTAAATAGAGGGAAAATTGCTGCTTAGTGTTATCAAAACAATGCCCATTACACAGAGATTAGAGTATTCACTGGGTTCACAAAGCACAAATTCACTATTTTTGCTGCTATGATAACAGTGCTTTGAATAAGAGAAAAGAAGAAGTCTGACTCTAGCTAGTCTAGCTCTCAGAGGCCCGGATGCCATTCTTATAGCAATCAAATGTGGTATTAGCTCTCAGAGGCCCGGATGTCATTCTTATAGCAATCAAATGTGGTATTATTTGAGAGTGAGAGCAACGACAAAGAGAAAGGTGTCCTCCATCATCAGTGAGAAGAGTTACATTTGCAGCCAGCTCAGGTCCTCAGCTCTGAACAGATAAGGAAGTGAGAAAACAAATATTCAACAAAGAGAGAGTTATAAGTCTATGATTTGAGATACAACTTTCACACAGGACAAAGTAATCCAATAATTTATATCCCTGTATAGCGTTCACATGACTTTTATGTTGTTCAGATGCATCTTCAACATCCCAGGTTTCTGTGATGTCTAACTGCATTACAGTACAATAGTAGTAATATTAGCATAAACTAATCTATTTTCATATTATACATTTTATATTAAATGACTGTGTTAAGAGTCGCTTGTAGTCGATGGCCCACAGAGAATAAGAATTATTACCCGACTTTGCTGTTAACCTCAGCTCTACATATAATTTTACTGACTTTTGGGTCACTGTTTCTGTTACAGGGAACACCTACCAAGCAACAAATGGCACATAAATGTAGCTGAAGAACATAACATTTTGCAGCTAAGAAGCCAGATATTTCTCTTAGGAGTTGATGGACAGCAAAACAGTAATAAACAGGGAGTGAATGATGGACTTACTGTAGATTCATCAGTCAAGTTAAGGCAGCAATAAACTATATGAATGACACTTATTCCTTAATGCCTTAACACAACCAACACCACTGAGGAATTAATCATTATTTCTTGCATTTAATGCATACATAGTATATAAAAGCAAAGTTTAGTTTATGTGGTTGTTACTCACTGAGCCTGTGCTTTTGTTAGAGTCTGGCCAGTAGCCATCAGCTCTGCCAGATGAGCCACCGCAGGATCGAACATCAGGCTTGCTGCAGCCACCACCACCTCATCCCTGTTGACAAAGCAGAAATGAAATGTAACACAAATTACATTAATTCACATTCAGCTGTATCGAGAGCTACATCCGCAGCTGCTCACTTGATGTAAAACGCCAGGAATTTCCGTTCTTCCACTTTTCCTTTGAATATGATTTCTGTGTATCCTTCACCATAGCCTGCGGAAATTAAAAGGGGAAATAAGATTCAGCACAGCCTGAGCTTAAATATTCAAATGTTTCTAAATTCATTATTGTAATGACCTTTTCCCCCAATATATCCTTTACCTGTGTATCTGATACTCTTCCCAAGCAACACAGTCCAGAAGAAAGGAACAGACTCAATTTTGGTTGGCTGATTTAGCATGTTCAGAGCAGCTACTCTTCCTGAGGTGAAGAAAAGAATACAGGGTAATGTTGAGCCCAAACATAAAATAACACTTTTCAAATATTACATATTGTTCTTGACTTTTTCTATTATTTTGTATATAAAAATGTGGAACTACCCAAACAGAACTCAGCTTCACCAGCAACCCCAAACCAAGGCACATAATATCATCCTTTGTTTTTTTAACTTCAGTCTCTTACCTTGAGCTTGTGACATTTGCCAGTGACCAATGTTGACCCTCTGGTCTCCACGAACAGTCAGAGGGAAGGAGGTTACATCTCCAGCACTAAAAACATCTGGTATATTGGTCCTCATGAACTGTTAGAGAAGTGAAACATGTGTACAGCATGTCCTCAACATTATGTGTATATTACACAAAACTATGCATTTCAGTCACCTGTGCACAATCACTTGAGGGATTCAGCATTAATTCATCAAAATTTATATTATACTGTACACATTTCTATTATTTAGTAATAAATGTAGAGTTGTAAAGCCATGCTCAAGTTTCATTAACTATGTCAACATCACAGTCATTACAGTCTGGCTACAGGCTATGTACAGTATGTCCTCTGACTGTTACCTTGTCAACTATCACAGCCTTCCTGGAATCCACTTCCACCTTGCTTCCTGCTAAGAAGTCTGAATTGGGAATTACACCTGAAAAACAGATCTGAATGTTACTTTTTTCCAGATCTCACAGGAAAGCTCTAAATGTAAAATGATAGATAAGGCAGAGTAGTGTTTGCAATGGTAACATTAGCAGTGGTCTACCTATTAAAATGTCTGCATGTTAAGATAGCCCTCTACACAAATATACCAACACCCTGCAGTAGAATAATAAAATTACCGATTCCAGCTATCACCACATCAGCTTCCACGACTGTACCACTGTTCAGCACCACCTCCTTCACCTGAAAAAACAAAATACATAGGGCTCTACAATAGACAATACACTAGGTTTAAAGCATCACAGTCTCGGTTATTGTGCAGGCTTTTTGGACTGAAGACATTTTGATATATCATAAAAAGCACGGGCATGCATAATGAATGACTGAATCCCATTCAGCTGCTTTAGTTTCACGGTTCTGGCAGTGTACATGTTGTGTCACAGGTCAAGTCACCTTGCCATTCGCTCCTCTGATCTCAGTGACTCTGTCGTTCATGTAGAACTTCACATTGTGTTCCTCCAACATCTTAGGCAAGAGAAAGGTTTTAAAACTGATTATGTTTAATATAAGCTGAACTTGATATTGTGTTCTGAGTAGGCACCTCATAAGTACTTACTTGCATAGTCATTTTGCCGATTTCAGGACCCAGAGACCGTTCATATGGGTATCTAGTAGTGCCAACCATGGACACACTGGCAGCTTTGCCTGATAAGTAGGATGCCACCTCCATACCTGTTGTGTTTAATAATCATAGAAACACTTCAATAGACTGCAATAGGTGTGATTTACAGTGTCAAATATTTAAATAGCAAGCACTCTTTAATATTGAGAGGTAGATATAAATGAGGTAATGACAAGTGGAGCATCATGTCAACCTGATTATCTAAAGCAAAAAACAAACACCTAAAACATGCTTTTGTAAAGAGGAACAATCCAGTTGTTATTTTGCTCTAAACTGAATCTGATAACCTATGAAGGAGGCCCCGATGACCACGGCCTTCTGGCCAAGGCAGGCGCTGTAAATCTCTTTGGCATCTTCGTAATTCTGCAGTAACTTTACTCCTTTCAAATCACAGCCTGGGCAGCTGAGCGGCCGTGCTCTGTAAACAAAATCAAAACTATTATGATAAAATTGTCCCATGGAAAACAAAAAAAAAATCCAAGGTTTTTGTCATGGTTGTTCTCATCGTCTTCACATGTTCAGTAATTCCAATATCATCTGAGAAAATCATCTTTGAGGAACAAGATGAGTCTCACCTACAGCCTGTAGAGATGAGGAGCTGGTCATAATGTTGCAGCATGCCATCGCTCATCTTCACTGCCTTAGCAGCTGGGTTTACTGACACCACCTGCAACATGGGAAATTTCTTAACATGAGCAAAGAGAGGATTGGTTTAATAAATCACAAACTGAATATTAGCTTTTGCTTCTCACCTCCTTCTGGGTCCACACCTCTATACCATATTGTTGATAAAAGTCACTCGAACGGAGAAGGATGCTGTTGCTGTCCAGATTCATAGCCTGAAAAAGGCAAAGCTATTTGCTAACAGCTTACCTCTAGATACAAGGTGGTTAGAACACAGACAGAACTACAGGTTACCTCTCTGTTTTGGTTCAGTTCTTACCTTACTCAGTTTGGGCTTGTCAAATGGAGGGAGGGTGTCTTTGGTAACCATGATGACTCGACCTTGGTAGCATTTCTGCCGCAGCGTCTCTGCACAAACCAGAGAGGCAGGACCTGAAATCACAAAATTCATATTCAGGGTGCAAGTTTTCAAAAGGTACATTTGAGATGGGGCTTAAGGAAATAGGTAGCATTACATCAACATATACACTTGAGCATCATCTCTAGACCTTTATTCCTCCTGCTAACAAAATTCCCTATTTACAGAGAGTGGAACAAAAACAGAGCAAAATCCAGGGTTAACATCAGTTTGGCTTTTTGAGATGGAGAGCGTTAAAAAGAGCCAGAGGACTCAGATGTGGCGTTCTTCCTTCTGGATGTGTTAGCATCTAAAGCTAATGTAGGTTTTGTTTTGGTAACATTAGCAACTTAGCATGGTCAGGATTTTACCTTTGTATTGGATTAACGTGATTTTAATTTGGGAGCAATTTGAGCTTTGTGTACCATTAGTTCTTTGTGTCACATCAGCAGTAACCAGAGCTGTCTACTGAACTGCCAAATTTACTCAGTTAGCTAATGCTAGCTTTAGACTGAAGGCTGTACTTTGTACAGTTTGTCACAACCAGACATCCATAGCTTATGTTCTAGCCTTAGGAAACAGGATGACATGGGCTAAGAGCGAAAAAAAGGACTGGTTTGTGGTGTGTATTTGTTTTGAGTCCCATTAAACCTTCTATCAACTGAAAAGAAAGTAGGTAGAGCAGCTTTAAGTAACAAACCAAACTCTGTACCAAAAGATGCAATGCCTTCAACCTGCCAGTCAGTTCACAGAAAATGATCTTTAACTGAGGACTGGCTTGAGGCTTGACCTGTCGAGCAAAACTTCCTGTATTTATGACCCCAAGACCTTACCCCCTCCTATGAGCAGAATAGTGTGTTTGATGTCTGCTGATACGCTGCACATCTCCTTAACCCGCTTGGTTAACTTCAGAGACTAAGGGAAGCAAACAAACAAACAAGGGAGTGTTAAAAACTGCATTTTGACACAGAGTGAAAGGAAACACTGTGGTAATTTAGAAGTATTTGATTTGCTCTTCTTACCTTTTTGTTGATGGAAACATAAACCTTGCCATCCTCAACTTTGACCTGGTTAAAAAAAGATAATTTGTCTCAGTTCAGAATTAAGCTTTCAGATTAAATATGTTGACAACAGCATCCACTGCTAAAAAGAGAAGGAAATATTTTGAAAGACTGAGGAAGTATCCTGAATAACAGTAACATCTGGTAACAGAACTACCAGTGTTGTGAACTAAATGGAAATCTAGTTTGGGCAAAGTTGTTTTTTTTTACCAATTCACATTACATGAAAATACCATAAACAAGCCTACTACTTTGTGCAAAATAAACCATCACAAATGTGACTATATACTGGATTTTCTCTCCAGTAAACTCCTACTTGAACTGTTGATCTCTACAGACATGTTTTACCTTATAACTTGGCAGACAGTCCAGTCCTGGATACTCTTCAATATCTCCAGTTCTGACATTGAAGCAAGCACCATGAAAGGGACATCTGACTCTGTCACCAACCAGTGCACCTGGATTATCAGAGGACATGCAGTTAATATTACTTAGATTCAATGGAAATCATTACATAATGTTAATGATTCAGATACTGGCATAGAGAGATTATGAAACAAAGTAAAAGAAGGTTTACCTTTGACAAGAGGAGCATTGTAATGAGAGCACTGGCTTCCAACGGCACTGTACTGACCCTGGGTACGGACCAGCAACACTTTCTGATCACCCACAGTTACTTCCCTCATCCTCAATAAACACAGAACAGACAGCAAGAGAAAATAGTAGATGTAGCTTCCAAACACGTGACTCAAACCAAAGAGGTGATCAATTATTTGATTAATTGTGAGAAGTGTTGTGACTTACTCTCCATCTCTCAGGTCAGCCTCCTGACATACCATCCCAGTCACCTCCTCTTCACTTTGACCTGGTTCTTGGCACTGATCCATACTGTAAGTGTGAGACGTGGATACGCTGTGAAAACCTGGTGGTCAGCCATCTTAAATTACAGCTTTTGAATGAACCACAAACATGTTCATCAAAGGACACATGTGATGCAGGCACAAAAGAGTGTAATTTAGTTTCCTGAAGGTACATTACAAACCTGTACAAACCTTACGGTCACACAAAGCCACAAAAATAACAATGAGAACAAGCAGCAAATTCTTACATTTAAGAACATGGAACTATAAAATATTTGGCATTTTTGTTTGAAAAATGACTGCCAACACACTAATTAATCAACTGATGCGGTCTCCCCCACCCCCTTTTCTGCATTTAAGTTAGGAATTAGTTGATAAACTTTAAAAAAAACATGTACGGCTTATAATTCCAATTAAAACTTTTGGATTCAGTTGACAGAACAGAAATCCATTGATACAAGCTACCGTACATCTTTTACTTACGGCCTCTCTGTACACTATAGGAACACACCCATTTTTCCAGCTTTTATTGACACATGAGCAGTTGAAGTCCAGTGAATATCCAGAAATGCTACAAAACTAATAAGTAAACTCCCAGAGGTTAAAAAAAAGTCACCAAAAACTGGAAACACTAGCTATGTAAATTTCATATAAACAGGCCTTTGTCAGGTGTCAATCATAGGTTAACTTGCACCTTTTCTGAAGCCGTGGAAGCAAATTGAGCCTTACAGCAGGATAATGGAGGGGATAAAACGAAAACAAAAAAATCCAGATTGTGTAATTTAAAGAACCAGGTAGTAGGCTTCAAATGATGGAATGGCAGCACTGTTCAGACTTTGTAGATGAGGAAAGAAAGCAAAGCAAAGCAACCTAAAACTGCAACACATTTTATGGTAATTTCAGCAATAGCCCTGTCCATCTGAACAACTGGCCCATTTGATTTCACCTGTAGAAGAAATGCACACAAGTTTGTTCGGCTGTTGATTTACACTAATTACAACTGACCTGAGGTCAATGTATATTTCATAGTTACAATAACCAACGAAATATCAAACCCCGGCAACGCTGTGGTCACCTGTTCTCTTCCTGGTCCTCAGCAGTACCGTCAGTGTTGTCAACAGCGGACCAAATGAATGTGGGTCAGGAGCGGGTGCAGCCAAATTGCCAGGTGTCCAGCTGGAGTCCCCTTTGCTGTGTGTCCTCCACCAGATTATCCCACCAGCGACAGTAACCGTGATGAGGTGGAAGTCACAAGCACCGTAAATCCCGCTGGGCGGGGATTAAATGATACGGACACGATGAGAATGCTATGTAGAAAAGGGTTTGTAGTTAACGTAAACCTCTGTCAAAGTATTGGTTTTATTTTCTGAAGAGTAGTTTGGAGGATTCAGTGAAATATTAGTTATGTCAGTGATGGCAGAAAAGAAACTTTCACCAATTGATTCGGAAAATGGTTCGTTGTTTTGAAACAATTGAACGATCCCACGCCAGCGACACCTGCTGGCCAAATGCATGTAACTACAGTGGCAAGAAAAAGTAAATTGGAGTTTGGAATTAGAATCAGAATCAGTTGTGTCGGACACAGGAGGAACAACAAAAGAAAAGAAAAAGAATGTGCATTAGTAAAATAAAAATAAAGTACTTATAAATATAGAAATATACACCGTTTAGATGAGGTGTTTCCACATAGATAATGTATATACAGAGGTATATTTACAAGGTATTGCACTGAGGGTTGTTGTTCTGTCACACAGTCATGGTTTAAGTTTTCATCAGAGAGACAGCCTGGTGGAAGAAACTGTCCTTGTGTCTCATTGTTTTGCCATATAGTGACCTGTAGCGTCGTCCAGAGGGGATGCATTCAAACTGTTTGTCTCCAGGTTGTGAGGGGTTTGCAGGAATTTTCTCTGCCCTCCTTTTGACTCTACCTGGTCTTCTACATGATTTGGTGTGGTGAAAATTCTAAAGTGAGTCTAGAGAAATAAAGAGTGAACATCCAAGCTGCCTTTGTGTGTTTTATTAAACAATCAGACAAGAGCATAAGCACAATAGTAGTATCTTGATCAAGAGGTCACACACTCAGTGCAAAGAGTCAGTGAGTGACCAAGAGCAGTTTGTGTGAGAAGGGTTTATAGGGGCCGATAGGGTGGGGTTGAGTTTCATGTTACACAAGATAATGTACAAGAACATCACAAAGGGGAATTCGCCCTTTGCCTAGGCCAGGGTGTACATACAATGCTTCTACAATAGCTATACAAGTCCATAGTTTTGAGCCTGAGAAAAAGCACTACATTGCATGAGAAGAAGAAAAGCAGTAATTACCATTACATTGGTCATAGACATGTCATCCAATCTACAACTAAGTCACAAATATAGACAAACACAACATGCTTAAAAAATTTAACACAAAAATATACACTTCATGTTTGTTGAACATGCCCAATCATTAAAAATGCTGGTGGAAAAGGCAGGAAAAATGAATCCTTGGATTTAATAACTGGCTGAAGCTCCTTCAGCAGCATTAATCTCAAATACAAGATTCCTGTAGCTGTGGATCAAACTTGTACAATGTTCATAAGGAACCTTGGACTGTTCTTCCTCACAGAGCTGCTTCAGCTCTATAGGGTGTCTGTTGTAAACAGCTTTCTGAGTTCACTCCACAGTATCTCTGTTGGGTCAGAGTCTGGGCTCTGACTGGGCCACCCCACGTGGCAGATTTTCTTGTTTTAAAGCCAGAGGCTGAGAGGCAGCAAAGCAGCCCCACATCATGATGCTCCTTTACTTCACCACTGGGATGATTGCTGGGACTGTGTTTGCAGCTCAGCCTCTCTCAATTTGAAGTATAAAAATAAAATGACATTGCTACTGAAAGAGTGAATAAGACATTTAAATCAGTTTTGATATAAAAATTAAAAAAAATTTAATAAAGACAATGCTAATAGTGACATTACTGTGACCTGTAGGTGCAACAGCAGAAACACACTTCTGACCGGGTTGCATTTTATTTGGCTGCTACGTATCTCACTTTACCATCTTAAAGAAACAGGAGGGAGGGGTGCTGCAGTTGGTTCTACGAACCCATCTGAATGTGTGTGGACATTTTTGTTTAGATCAGTAGCCTATATTTTTACATCAGCCAGATAGGCAAAACCTGTGAAAATCCATAGCACCTAATGAAGTTTATCATTTTGACCCCAGCTGATTGATTACAGACATTTGGTTAGAAAACATCAATGTAATCCAAATCATTTTCTACAAAGATCTCATAAAATTAGTGAAAGTCATGAAATATCATAGTAAAAGAATAACAAGAAATGTGTTTTGCAAACAGGTCTATTACCTTACTGACCCAAAACAAGAATTTAGATCTAGCCCCTTAGCGGATGGTGGCGCTGTTTCGCTAAAGATTACAGCATTTACTAATGTCCAAGGCCAGGCTCTGGCTTGAACGAGAGAAGCGTTTGTATGGTTTCACTCATATGGTTTCACCGAATGAAACTACACTGAAAGGTCTGATGTTCAGTTAGAATATCAAATAACGCTATATCATAAATAAATCAAAGGGTCCATGCTCAGCTACGTATTCATTATTTACATGTGAAACAAACTACTGTTCCCATAATTCAGTCCACCATCGTTTGTGAACGAATGAGGTGGCTTGGAAGCAGCGCTGCCTTGGAGTTCTTCGTAATTTATAGCTTTCTTGGTCAAACAACAACTTTCTTGTGCATTATGGTGCTTCCGCATACAAATACAAAATATACGTGGGTGCCTGTTGTTTAATTTGAAAACCTAATAAGCAGCAAGAATAAATCGAGAATTTATAATAATTGATGTCTTCATTTGTGTGGAAGAGTCAAGTTCCATCAAAAACCAAACCAAGCCAAATCTCGTCATATAAAATCAGCAAATGTAATTTTATTTCTTCTCTTTTGAATCTTTACAGTAGTTAATAAAAATGAGTCAAGGGACTGTGATTTTTTTTTTTAACAAATACAGGACTCACAGACTGACAGACATTAACAGCATGCAGATTTGATGATAATAAATACTCATCATTTGCAGCTCTTAAATAATTTGAACAACATTTTTCAAGTTTGGAAGTAGCTTTCATATTCAGATTTTTATCATACGAGCAGAAAATTACCTTCTTCTACAGGTATACTGTTGCGCAAATATTTGTGTGTTTTACCAAGTAGGCCTACCATCGTACAGGACTACTAACACTGATACGGCAGATTAAACATTTCCGACAGCACTCGAACACAACGCCAGACATGAAACATACTATTGGGCCAAACCCCTGGTGAGGACTTTGTTTGGTGTCTGTTGATGTCAGAAAGTTACACAAGCGTGCGGTGATGCGATTTCATAACAGTAAATGGGGTTTAACGTGGACACTGATAGTTTTGTCTGGATTATTACATATCACTCTGGATAGTAACAGTGAATGAAACACGCCTTTTCACAAGACTCTTTGGGCAAAGAGTGCAAAAATGACTAAGAACACGCTGGCGTGTTAAAGTGATTGTCATCAACCATCCGTGTGTCTGCGTCCATGTAACGCTCCCGCGGGGACAGTCGTGACCAGCTTCTTCACCTTCTAGACTACCATTTCAACTATGGCGCTGAGTTCAGTGATTTTAACAACTGGGATCTCTGTAGGATTTTTCACGCTCGTCAACGCTGGCGTTAGTAAAGTCATCCCTGAATCTGCCCGCAGGAATATATGGAAATGGAAAAATATTTGTACATCCTTCGCGCACAGTTGTATCACTGCAACATGGGCAGTGCTTTGGTAAGTTAATTTATTCAGTATTTTAACAAAGTCAGGGATTGTTCGGAAATTATTAGTTTAGATATACTTTGTTTGGTTTCACTAATGATTTGGCGCGCGGCTCTAATCAATATGTATGCGTATTGATTGAGTTTGACAACAGTTTGGCTCATTCTTTGTAGAAGGTTTCTGATTTCTGCCACACCGTTTGGGCAGATCCTCTGCCAAGATTCATTATCACTGAGAATAGATTTAAAGATATAACTGGCAGTAATGATCTGCAGTCAAATGACAGGTGGCTGGATTGATTGTAAAGATATTACTCTCAAATCCCAGAAAGTTTTTGTATTTTGAAATAATTTTCCGAACTTTTGTGTTTGTTTTCTCAGCTTTTTCCTGCATCCACAGATGGCCGAAGATTTGATAGAGACTCACTCTGTGTTCTCTCATGTTTTGGTGTCATTTTCCATTGGTGAGTAGCAATTCCGCAGTGTCCAGTGCTGAATTACAAATGTTGTCCTTGTCTGAATGGGCTGGTGGTGGAGCGTCCACCCAGAGGTGCTGCCATCTTAAGGAAAAGTGAGGAAATGACATTATCCATCTCACTGGTCTCATTTTCTTACATAATCTTAGGTACAGCTTTAGGTCAGGTTTTATGGTGCTCATTTAAAACATTTCTTGTACCAGATAGAACAACTCTTACATTGTCAGTCAGTTGGATAAGAAACCGTTTTGAATATTTATGTCAATAAATTAGACAGCAAGCTTTTACATTGTTTGCATTACCTGAAGCAAATATGGAAATCATATGGTCTGTAACACAAAGTGGCAGACATGGTAAACAGAGCCACTCTGAATGCTCAGTGTTGACATCTTGATGTGCTCTATCATCTTGAATCCCGTGGCTGCTCTTTGTTTCTACTACTCACTGACATTGTTAATGTAGTTGTGATAGTAAACATAGGGGTTTGACTGAAGTCCACTTGTCCTGTAGATGAATTGTTACCTGGAATCTACATAATGAAGATTACTACATTTACTCACTAAACAAAATTGCAAAAATTTGATTTGGCTGGATTTCACTAGGCCTTCACAAACCTGTAAGTGAGTATGCCAGGCCATATCTTGAAATCCTGCCATCTTTTTTCGTATTGATCTTGAAAGTATTCTACAACAATTTGTGGCACATCAGAACTTTTAAATCCGCAAATTTATTGAATCTGCCGGGCGACTTGGTCTCCCCTCGGGTTCCTGGGATGTTTGACATTCTTTCAGGAAGCTCCGCCCTGGAAACCAGCAAAACGAGGAGCTGTGTTGGTATGTGAAGATCAACGGGGGCCATTATGATTGGCCCCAGGCGTCGTGTGTAACCCTGCACAGTCATGTGACATCACCAAGATAGCAACTGCCAAAAACTCCCTTGATTTTTGTGAGCCCTTCATGTCGGATGCCTGTGGTAACAGAGAGGGGAGTAATCATGCACCAATAAGTGGAGAGCTTCTCCCAGGTCCTCCCACCAGAAATGTGGAATGACTTTTCTGAGGCCTCAGCAAGTTTAGAGAGGAGTTTTGTTCACCAGATCTGTGTATTTAGCACAGCTTGCCATGATACCACGCTGCAAACTTAACCTCACAGTGACATGCCATAAATCGTTCTCCACTTGCTGAATGAAGACCTTGTCCAGTGAGTAGAACAATGTCCCACACAGGAACTCAGCAACGCCTAATGTTTTGTGCACTGAGCTGTTAATACTCTGCAGTTTATTCTCCATGCTGCTATGAATAAGTTAAAAAATTATTCTATGGTGTTTCACCAACAGAGCTGAACATTCAAACAGATAAAAAGAGTAGTGACAGGAAGTACTGCGGTGTGGACACATTTTGTCAATATAGTATAAAGAATTACCCATAATGCTATGCAAGTCATGTTTATGTAAAAGACAAAGACAGAAGGCCACTGTAGTTGGATGTTTACATGCCGCATAACTCTGTCAGTGTCAGATTAAACCAAGTGTCTAAATCAGATTTCTTATACTTAACTGGGCCATTCCAACAAAGCCATGATGTTGGCATGCATTGTATCAGCCTGAAACCCAGTCGTTTGACTAACTGGTTTAAGAAAGGAATTCCCCATTCACATAAATACATCTGTGAAACTCAGTCCAAAGGATCTGAATGTGAATAAGTAAATGTATTACTTTGGAGGATTTCACTAGAAACCTACAGTTTCTTTCCCTGGCAGTCCTGATCATACTTAGGTTGATAACTGGTAGAAACCAGTAGAACCAGCAGTTTGATTCTCTAGTGTAGACATTAGCTGAACAGAGCCTGGGCCTCACACTGACATCATGTCCATGTTGCAGAATATAAAGAGAAATATGCTGCAAGCTTATGTTGTTCTCCATGTCCGTCATTCTTCATTCTGTTATGTTTTGATTTCAGATGTCACACAGTATTGAATGAATCATTATGAGGCACAAGGACAAGATAAGTGGTGTCAATTAACTGGCATGTTTATGCGCTCAGTTTGGCTGTTTATGGAAAAGCTTGACCCAAACTCAACCTCTTGGGGCAGAGGAAGCTGTTGGCCAGGAGGCCAGGTCTAATCCACGCCCTTGTCATACCACTTCACCCTAACCCTCTGTTTTGTGCATTCATGTGTAGTGGTGTCCTTATTCTCATGGTACAGCAGGTGCACAGTGGCTCAGAGGAAAACATTCAACAGGGTCATTAAAATGGCTCAGAAGGTCGTCGGCTGCCCTCTCCTCACTCTGGAAGAACTACGCAGTTCCTGCTGCCTCAGATAAGCTCAGAGCATCATTAAGGACATTTCACACCCTGGACATTCACTCTTTGAGCTGCTGCCGTCAGGTAGACAGTTCATAGTAATCAAATCAAGGACCACTAGATTCAAGAACAGTTTTTATCCAACAGCAGTTACCAAACTCAGTGCTGCTAAAATATAATATGCCCGTGTGTGTGGCATGTATATGCTTTTATTTTATATGTTATGTTTTTATTTATATTGCTGTACTGACTGGATGTCACTTTAAATTTTCGTTGTACGTGTTACAATGACAATAAAGATTATCTATCTATCTAGAATGGAAGGGTAGGGCTGCCTAGCTCTTCAAATGGAGGATTTTTTGAGGCAGACTAAAAACAGAGCGTTATCAGGCTATCTATGCCAAAACTTACCTGCAGTCAGCGCTACACAGCTCAAACAAATCCACAACATCCCCTGGTGTCAAAACATAGTCCTGACCTTGCATTTTTCTTATTTACTGTTGAAAATTGCAAACTGATGCTCATAGACTATGCAAGAGAATTCACCACAGGTGATGATGATGTGCCATTCAAGATTTCCAAAAACAACTCATTGTGTCTTTGTCATTAACTACTGATGATGGATAGAGGTCTTGAAGGGTTGTCACATTTCATCTGAGAAGATTTCAGCCATTGCTGACACATTTTGGTTGCCATCACTATCGTCATGGAAGCAGGGTCCCCCTGTCACATTTGATAAGCTCTTGTCAAAAGAATCAGTTGTGTTTTGGTAGATGAATGAATTGTTGAGTCTGAAAGGGACTAAATGGTGTCTCTCTCCACAGGTTACTTCATCTTTGACCTCTCTGACATGATGATGAACCAGAAGCTGAGTCAGTCCTGGGAGCTTCTTATTCATCACATCGTGGTAGGTCTCCCAAGCATTACTGTCACAGTTAAAAATAAGCTGTGTACTGAGGTTTAATATCAGAGCTAATGACGTTTCACCTCAAATGTTACTGACCTGTGGCTGTGTAGGAAATCATCTACATGTACCAGTTCCCTCATGAATTCATCATACAGTAGTTAGTGCATAGACATCTCATGCAGCAAAAACAGACACAGGGGAGACAAACATTAGCACCCTTCCTGTCTAGTTACAAAGAACTAGTGAAGGAGGAACAAATCATTCCAGTGTGACAGGGCCTCCGCCAGGTATCCAGCCTTTGTTTATATGTCGGGAAAACTGGACTCCACTGGACTCCCTCTGCCTCTTGATTATTACTTACTACAGTATGGAGCAGATTCCACTCAGAGCCAGTCATCTTCGCACCATGGTGACCCTCAGTAAGCTGCTCTAATGGGAGATATTTCCCTGAGGTGATAGT